GGGAGCGCCGGGGAGGAATGAGCTTGGGGAGGGGGAGAGAGGGGGGCCCACGGCCACGCGCGACCGCGGCGCGCCCCCTCCCGCCGCCGCGGGGTGAGTCACCGCTCTGCATTGTGACGTCACGCGCCGGCCTGACATCTGACGTCACGCCCATACGCGCGGAGAGGGGCGCGCGTGACGGCGGCGTGGGTATCCCCCCACCCCCCCCGCTCTCAGCAGAGGGCCCCGGCGGGGCGGAGGGCGCCGAGCCCCCCGCGGCGGGCGAGGAGCGGACGGTGACGGCACCGCTGGTGCGACCCCCCGGTCCCCCCAAAGAGGCCGCCCCCGAACGGGAGACATGGACCCGGCAGATGGATTTCATCATGTCCTGCGTGGGCTTCGCCGTGGGGCTGGGCAACGTCTGGCGCTTCCCCTACCTGTGCTACAAGAACGGCGGAGGTGAGCCCCGCGCTCGCCCCACGCCGCGGGGGTGCGCCCCGGGGCGCGGGGGGCACCCCCTTCCCTCCGCGGAGTGTATGCGTGGGGGTCACCCCACGCTGGGCCGGCTCGCCCTGCGCTTCCGAGGGGCTCGCGGGCCACCCCGCGGGTGTTCAGTGTCACTCACGGGGCGGGGGGCCGTGGGAGCCCCCCACCACCTGCCCGTGCTGACCTACATCGCTGCGAGGGGAGGGCGCGGAGGCGCCTTCGCCATTCGCTGCGCCCGGGCGGGCGGCGCGGGGAAGGGGGGGAGCGACAGGGGGGGCCGAGGGGGCGGCGGTGGCTGAGCCGGCCCCCTGCCCCCGGCCCCAGGCGTCTTCCTCATCCCCTACCTGCTCATCGTCTTCGTGGGCGGCATCCCCATCTTCTTCTTGGAGGTGGCTCTGGGGCAGTTCATGAAGCAGGGGGGCATCGCCGCCTGGAACATCGCCCCCCTCTTCACGGGTAACGCCGCACCCACCCGCGCCCTGCACGTGCCCTGCCTGCACCCCGCCCGCGGCCCCTGCACCCTGCCCAGGGCCCCCGGCACCCTGTCTGTGCCTCAACTGCCCGTAGCCTGCTGGGGCCGGCAGCACCCTGCCCACGCCCTGCCTGCTCCCCTGCACCTTGCCCGCGTCCCACTGCCGCCCTGCGCCCCAGCTAAGGGTGGCAGCTGCCTGCACCTGTGTCCCATGACACTCTGCACTGCCCTGCCCGTCTTGCTGCCCCTGTGGCTCCCTGCCTGCACGCTGCTGGATCCCGGGGCCTGCCGGGTCCCCACCTCAGCAGTATCACCCTGCCGGCTCTCCCCTGGTGCTGTGCCATGCTGCCAGCTGTCCCCACCCCATCCTGTCCCGCCCAGGCTTGCCAGCTCCCCCTGTCCCATTCCCGCCAGCTCCCTGCTGTCCTGCCTGGGGCTGCCAGCTCCCCCTGTCCTGTCCCCCATCAGCTCTCCTCTGTCCTTCCCCATCCCTGCCAGCACCCCGCATCCCACCCTGTGCTGGGTGCCAGGTGCCCACAGCTGCCTGCGGGCTCCGATCTCCCCGTGCTGCAGGTTTAGGCGTCGCCTCTATGGTGATCGTCTTCTTCTGCAACTCCTACTACATCATGATTCTGGTGTGGGGGCTCTTCTACCTGGTGCACTCACTGACGGACACCCTGCCCTGGGCCACTTGTGGCCACTCCTGGAACACGGACCAGTGCACAGAGCTCTTCAACCTGGACCTCTGCTACAATGTCAGCACTAATGCCACTGCCAGCACTTGGACCTCCAACTTCAGCTGCGCCGACATGACCAACAAACGCTCACCTGTCATTGAGTTTTGGGAGTGAGTGTGGGAACCAGGAGGGTGTTGCCTGGGGCCGAGGGTGTCGCACCAGTGCTCAGCACGGCCCCGCTCTGCAGGAACAAGGTGCTGCGGCTCTCTGGGGGCATTGACGAGCCGGGGGAGATGAACTGGCAGATGATCCTCTGCTTGGTCACCACTTGGGTCGTTGTCTACTTCTGCATCTGGAAGGGTGTAAAGTCGACTGGGAAGGTAACACTGGCGGGGGGAGAACACTCATCAAGGCCACTAGCATGGGGGAACAGGACTGCGGCACACAGCACTGCTGGCTCCGGCCCTCCTGTGCCACAGCCCACAGGGGTGCAAGGCCCCTGTCCCATGTCTGTCCAGGAAGTGCCACCAGTCGTTGGGGGCATTCACAAGCTTTAGTCCAGCTGGGACACCTGTGGCACATGGCAGAGAGCCCTGGCTCCAGGGGTCTCACAGGCACCCACTGCTCTGCAGATTGTCTACTTCACGGCACTCTTCCCATATGTGGTCCTCATCCTGCTGCTGGTCCATGGGGTAACACTGCCTGGCGCACTGGGTGGCATCGTCTACTACCTGAAACCCGACTGGACCAAGCTGGTTGAGGCACAGGTGAGGGCAGTGGGGAGGGCAGGAAGAGGTTGGGTGCTGGACACTCCCCTGACACCTTCATCATCCCCCTACATCCTCCCTCACGCCCCAGGTCTGGATTGATGCCGGCACCCAAGTCTTCTTCTCCTATGCCATCGGGCTGGGCGCCCTGACCGCGCTGGGCAGCTACAATCGCTTCCACAACAATTGCTACAGGTAGGGCTGTGCCAGCTGCACGCAGTCCCCCTGCTGTGTGTCCCACTGCTCCCCCGGTGTGAACCCCGGCGCCCCCTGGCACCTCCTGACTCGCTCTGCCCACAGGGATGCCTACATCCTGGCCGTGATCAACAGCCTCACCAGCTTCTTTGCCGGCTTCGTCGTCTTCTCCGTGCTTGGCTTCATGGCCTCTGAGCAAGGCGTGGACATCTCCAAGGTGGCCGAGTCCGGTGAGTGCCGGGCGGCAGATGCCGACTGGCACTGTGTCCCCTGCGTCACCCTTTGAGTGGCACCCCTGACCCCGCTCTCCCGCAGGTCCCGGGCTGGCTTTCATCGCCTACCCCAAAGCTGTGACGCTGATGCCCTTGTCCCCGCTGTGGGCCACGCTCTTCTTCATCATGCTCCTCGTGCTGGGGCTGGACAGCCAGGTGCTGTGGTGGGCAGGGAGGGGGATAGGGAGAGGATGGGTGGCACGCCCCCACTGAGCCCCACTTTCTGCCACAGTTTGTCGGCGTGGAGGGTTTCATCACGGGCATCCTGGACCTGTTCCCCCAGCCAGGGGCTGGCTCGCTGCGCCGTGAGCTCACTGCTGCGCTCTGCTGCATCGTCTGCTGCCTCATTGACCTCTCCATGGTCACACAGGTGGGGGACATGGCAGGGATACTGCCCAGCCGGCCTCACACCAGGCACCTGCACCTGCTCCCAGGGCGTCACCTTTCATGGGATCCTGGTGTCGGGTGGGAGCTCCCTGGGGCTGCTGCCCCCCCCAGCAGTGGGCCTGCCCACAACATGGGGGTCCCTGTGGCATGGGGGTGCTGTGGGAGCAGGGTGCCCATGGCAGTGCAGGGTGTCCGTGCCAGGTGAGGCACTGGTGCTGGCAAGGCTGTGCCAGCGCCGGTGTGGAGATGTGCAGGGCAGCTGGCACAGTACCGGTGACATGGGCGCCTTCCCGGCAGGGCGGCATGTACGTGTTCCAGCTCTTTGACAACTACTCGGCCAGCGGGATCACGCTGCTGTGGCAGGCTTTCTGGGAGTGTGTGGTCATTGCCTGGGTCTATGGTGAGGCCAAGGGTACATGGTGGGGGAGGGGACACGAGGGGACACGGGTGCCCCGCAGAGCCCTGCTGACACCCTGCTCCCCGCAGGCGCCGACCGCTTCATGGACGACGTGGCCCGTATGATCGGCTATCGGCCCCTGCCCGTCATGAAGTGGTGCTGGGCTGTGGTGACGCCCCTGGTCTGCGTGGTGAGCAAGGAGGGCCACCGTGTGTGGGGACGTGCGTGGGGACACGCGTGGGGACACGGGTGTGCCGCTGCCCCGGGCTGTGCCGCGGGCACGGAGCGCCCCCCGGCGGCTGCTCTGGGCACACGCGTGTCGGGACCGTGGGGCGCGATCGCACGCCGGGGGCCGCGGGGTGACACGCGTGGGGGGCGGGGACCGCCAGCCCCCTGCCCCGCGGGAGCTCACCCCCCACTCCCCACCCAGGGCGTCTTTGTGTTCCACGTGGTGAACTACAAGCCGCTGACCTACAACAAGACGTACGTGTACCCATGGTGGGGGGAAGCCATCGGCTGGGTCCTGGCACTCTCCTCCATGCTCTGCATCCCCTGCACCGTTATCTACAAGCTCCTGCGCTGCAAAGGCTCCTTGCGCGAGGTGAGGGCGGCACAGAGGGGACCCTCCTGCATCTCTCTCCACCCCAGCCAAGCCTGTCCCTCTCTCAGTCTTGTCCCCATCCCAGTCCCAGCCCCATTCATATCCCAGCACTGTCCACATTTCTGTCTCAGTCCCATCCACAACCAGATCCCTTCCCTGTCCTCATGACTGTCTCATTCCCATCCACAGCCAGATCCCTTCCCTGTCCCCATCACTGCCTCATTCCCATCAAAATTCCATCCCTGTCCCCGTTGCTGTCTCACTCCCAATCTCACCTGAATCCCATCTATGCTTACATCATCGTCTCAGTCCTATCCCTGTGTGAATACCATCTCTGTCCCTATCACTCTTTACTCCCAGCCAAGTCCTGTTCACGTCCCCATCACTGTCTCAATCCTGTCTCCATGCAGTCCCTGTCCCTCTCTCAATCCCATTTAATCCCTTTCCCATCCTAGGCTGACCCCCATCCAAGTTCCATTCCTATCGTCATCGCTCTCACTCCCATCAAATTCCTATCCCCGTGACTGTCTCACTCCCAACCTCACCCAAACCCCATCCTTGCTGACATCACTTCTTAATCCCGTCACTGCCTCATGTCCCTATGCAATCTCTGTCCCTTTCTCAATCCCATTTCAATCCCCTCCCTGACGCAGTCTGACCTTCATCCCCATCCGTACCTGCCCCTTCCCCCATCTCGGTCCCCTCCCTTTGCACCGTGGGGGATTCACTGAGCTGGGTCCAGGCAGTCTCAGTGCTGCCACCCTCGGGTGCTGACACAGCGTCCCCGCAGCGCTGGCAGCTCCTGACCACTCCGATCTGGGGCCAACACCACCTGGAGTACCTGACGCCCGAGGCAGAAGCCAAGCTGCTGGCCCCAGAGCCCCCCAAGGAGAAGGCGACGCTCTTCGAGACTGTGATCTGAGCGTGGGGAGGGTCGCGCTGCTCCCGCCCGCCATAGCAATAATGCCAGCACCGCCTCCCACCCACGCTGCCCCGTGCCCCCCGTGCCGCCCCGGCCACCAGCCTCGCTGCAGGGGGGTGAACACAGCGAGGTGGGGGGAGCCGGGGGCCGCGGAGCCAGGGCGGCTGCGGGGCGCGGGAGGGGTCCCCGGCGCAGGGGGAGCGTGGCAGCCCGGGGGGCTGGCAGGGAGGCCGCGGGCCGGGGGAGCGAGTGGGACAGCCCTTCCCTGGCCCCTGCCCGCGGCCCTCACAGCCCCCCATTCACTAACTGCTTCCCGTAGCGTTTGTCTGGTGTAACCCCAACCGCCCCGACATCTGGCAATAAACTGGGAGACCCTGGCAGCCCTGGCACTGCAGGCAGGGGAAGAGGGGCACTGGCAGTGGGCAGCTGGGTGGTGAGATGTGGGGTGGCACTGGCCTTTAGGGGACAAAGGTTTGAGGGGGACAGGGTTCAGGGGTTCAGAGACACCTGGGTTCCTCTCTGGGGGTGACATGGCAGGGACAGGCTGCCGGAGCAGTGGGGTCTCCATCCTCCACCACAGGATGTGGGTGCCCACAGGCTGTACCAAACCCAAGTTCACATGTAGGACTGGAGCACTCCATGCAGCCAGGGCTGGCCCTGCTTATCAGCCCCAAGGGGCAGATTTTGGTCCAGAGGCTTTGAGAGTCCTGACTGTCACCGGGGGTGGGTCAGGATCCAGCTGTACACCACCGGGAGCTACTTGTGTCAGCTTTGGGGCTCCCAGCCCTGTGCCATGGGAACAGCCCTGGGCTGGGGAGGGTTGCGTGGACAAGGGGATGAGGCAGACCGGGGGCCTGGGCATGTAGCCAGGAGAAGCCAAAGGCTCAATCTGCCCCAGATCCCTTGAGCTGCCTAAGCCCTGTCCCAGTGGGTTGCCAGCCAGCGGGGTGCACGTGCCCTGTGCTTCACACCAGCAGATCCCGGGGAGGCCAGTTCCAGTCTGTGCCATGGGAACCCACATGGAGCCCCAAGGAAACCACTGGCATGCTGTGCTTGGAGTGGCTGACAGCCATCCCTGTGCCCTAGCTGGGTGTCGACGTCCTGCCATACCCAGTGTCCCACCTCCAGCAGCACCATGGCCACCCCAAGGTGTGTGGCTGTCCTGCCCATGAAGGGACAGGGGGAAAAAGTGTCCCCACCTGTCCCAGCCATCCTTGGGCACAGGGCTGGAGCAGCAGTGCCATGTCAGGTGTCCATGTCCAGTGCCTGGGAGCACCATGGTGCCAGAGGCTCTTGTTTCAGGGTGCTGGCTCACCCCACCACAGTACCCTCTCACCCCGCTGGGGCGAGCCGGCAGTTCCTGCCCCACCGGCAACGCACACCGTAATTAGCCCGGGCAGGGCGGAAGCATCACTGATAATTGGCGGTGACTCGTTAGTGCTGGAGCGCCACATGCCCAGGGCTCAGCAGGACTTTCCGGCAGGGCTGGTTGGCGGGACTGACTGGCATCCCGGTGCACCGATCGGAGTGCGGGGCCTGGCTGGCTCCCCAACACCAGAGTAGGGACAGGGTTGGGTGTGGGGTGTGGGGGCGAGCACTGTCATCGCCTGCGCTTCGTGCTGCAGCACGCCCTTGTCTCGCCACCCCTTCCTAAAAGGCACTGCTTCAGGGTGCTGCTGGCACAGACGGTGAGAGCACTGGGACCAGGCAGAGGTGGGAAAAGGACGGGGGATAAAGGGGTGCCAGGGGTTCCTTTTGCTGGCTGGGCTTTCCCCACGGGTCTCCTGTAGCACCCACGAGACCCCATAGGAGGGGACTCGACCTGCGTTGTGCCCTCGCAGGGCAGGTGCCCACAGCACCATGAACCGGATCACAGTGTACGAGCGTGCCAACTTTGAGGGGCTGAGCCGGGAGTTCACCTGCGACGTGCCTGACTTGCATGAGCTGGATTTTGGGAACTGCATTGCCTCCCTGAAAGTAGTGGGGCAGCCCTGGATCGCCTACACAGATGCCAAGTATGAGGGGGAGCCGCATGCCTTTGAGGAGGGTGAGTACCCCTCCGTGGAGCGGCCCAACAGCTTCTCGGCACTGCGCCTCGTTCACCACGACCTGGGGGACCCACAGATCACCCTCTATGAGCACCCCAACTTCCAAGGCGCCTTCAAGGTGGTGACAGAGGAGACCAACTTGGCGTATGGATACTTTAACGACCGGGTGGCCTCCCACGTGGTGCAGCGAGGTGTCTGGCTGCTCTACCAGAACCCCGGCCGGGGTGGCTGGCACTGCCTGGCATGGCCTGGGGAGCATCTCGCCGACTACAAACTGGAGCTGAACTTCCAGGATCGGCTGTCCCACCTGCGCCCACTGCGGCCTGGGAGGCCCCTGGTCTCGGCACGTCTTCTTTGGGAGCAGAAGCGGGTGGAGGAGGAGCGGGAGGTGCTAGTGGATGAGATTGAGGGGGTGAACGAGACAGAGTCGGAGCAGGCACTGGCAGCCAGCAGCAGCCGGGAGTACGGCACCACACTCTGGCAGAGCTTCCACTTCAGCAATGCCACCAGCCTCAAAGCCGGGCTCTCCTTCACGCTGACTGTGGAAGCCTCCAACATCTTCACAGTGCAGAAAGGGCACAGCGAGTCCAGCACCCGCCGGCAGCGCGTGGAGGTGCAGCTGCCGGCCAAGATCCCCCCACGCACAGCACTCAGCATCCAGGTCCTGCGGAAGGAGGTGACACTCTCCGTCCCGGTTCTGCTCACCATCACCCAGAACGAGGCCGTTCGGACGGAGATGGGCGAGTACCGGAGCATATCAGGGACCAACGTCAGTGCTCGCTACAGCTTGAAGCCACTGCCAGCCTCGGGCAGGGAGCAGGCAGCCACCGAGGGGACAAAAACAGTGCCCGGCACCAGGATGGAGCCGTAGCTCTGTGCTGGGGCCGGCCAACGGCTCTGTTCCCTCTGTGGCGTTGGACCCCCTTCTGTCCAGTGATTCTGGCTGGCAGGACCTGCCAGTGCCTCCTCCCAGCCAGTGTTTCCAATAAACCCCCTTCCCCAACCACTCAGGTCTCTGCTGCTGCTGGGGCCGGGGTGGGAGTGGGATGAGGTGGACACTGGGCTGGGAGCACACCGGGCTGGGGGGGCACACAGGGTTTGGGGGGACACTGGGCTGGGGAAGACATCGGGCTGGAGGGGCACGGGGCTGGAAGTGCCAGGCAATACCAGGCTGGGGGAGCTGGCGGGGCACAGGGAAGAGCTGGGGACACCAGGCTGGAGAGGACATCAGACCGGGGGAGCAGGAGGACACTGGGCTGGGGCTGCCAAGGGTACACCGGTCTGAGGGAGCCTGGGGACACCGGGTTGAGGGGTGTACCGGGGCAGCTGGGGGGACAAGGGAGTAGGAAGCCGAGGGACACTGGGCTGGCGCGGACAAGGGACCACCCACGGTCCGGGGGAGCCGGGGACACCGGGCCGGCTTGGCCTCGCACAGACCGGGCTGGGGCAGCCACCGCGATCCCCGCCACGCCCCGGGCCCTTGGGCATGTCCGTCGGGGACACAGGGGGACAGAACCGGCCGGGCGGGCACAAGCCCCGCCCCCAGCCCCGCCCCCCACGTGGCCGCCGCCGCCGCCGGTCTCTTTAAATGATGCAACACCCCGCGCGCTGAGCCCGCCTCCCGCGCGCCCATTGGCCCGGCCGGCCCTGGCTCCCCCCTCCCATTGGTCCGGACCGACCTCCCTCGCTGCCGATTGGCTGGGCGCCGCCCCGCCCATCGAGCAGGCACTGGCGGAGGCGGCAGCATGGCGGCGGCGGCGGCGGCCATGGGGGCAGAGGAGGCGGAGGAGGCGCTGGGGCTGTTCACCGGAATCGGCCTCAGCGAGGCCAAGGCGCGGGAGACGCTGCGCAACGGGGCTCTCAGCGCGCTGCTGCGTCGGGCCGTGCTGCAGGTGCGCCCGCCGCGGGCCCACACCCCCGTTCCCGGTACCCCGGTACCCGGTGTCATCCCGGAACCCTGGCACCCCAAGAACCCGTTACCCCAGCACCTCGGTACCTGGTACCCCGGTACCCGGTGTCACCCCCGAGACCTGGTACCCCGGTACCCGGTGTCACCCCCGAGACCCGGGACCCCGATCCCCGGTGTCACCCCTGTATGCCGGTACGCGTCGGTATGCCGGTATACCCCGGAAACCCGCAACCCCGGCATCCCAGTGCCTGACCCCGAGACCCGGCACCCCGATCCCCAGTGTCACCGCGGTACCCTGGTCCCACTGTCATTCCCTGGACCCCCCGGCCCCGCCTCCTCCCAGCCCCGCCGAGTGGCCTCGGCCCTTGACATCCTACCCTCGCCCTGTCCCGGTGCCGCCGGTTCTCCGGGGCTCATCCCTGACCCTCCCCCGGGTGGCGGCAGGCTCGGAGCGCGCTGGGCCCGGCGCTGGACAAAGCCACGGGAACGCTGCTGTACAACGCGGCCGCCCGCCTCAAGGACCCGAAGCACCTCGGCTTTCTCGTGGGCTACATCGCCCGCAGGGAGATCCTCACGGACCTGCAGCTCAATGGTACCGCCCGGCCCCAGACCCCGCCCGGCCTCGGCGAGGAGGGCTCTGCTCTAACTCCTGCTCTGTCCCCAGCCGCTCTGGAGTACGTGAGGAGCCACCCTCTGGAGCCCCTGGATGCAGCGGACTTCGAGCAAGCCTGTGGTGTGGGCGTCTGCATCACCCCCGAGCAGATCGAGGAGGCGGTGAGTGGGCCTGTGACCCCGCGGGGACAGTGCAGGGGACACTGGACTGGCTCCTAGTGCTGTGCTCCCGCCTAGCTTGCTCATCCCAGTGTCCGCATCCTGCTCCCAGGTGGAGGCTGTAATCAGCGAGCACCGAGCGGAGCTGCTGGCAGAGCGCTACCACTTCAACATGGGGCTGCTGATGGGTGAGTGGGAACACCAGGGCAGCACCTGCCTGGTGCTGGCGGCTGCCACATCCTCCTGCCTGCCTGCCTGCCAGTGCCACTGCCAGCTCCCCTGGATCCCGTGAGCCAGCCCTTTGCCACGGGCTGCCCCAGTTGCTGTGTTGCTGTGCTGCTGTGCTGCAGCCCAGCAGGGAGATGTCCTGCCACATCCCCCACTCGGGCAGGGCCGATGTGCACTGTGATAGGGACAGCCTAGGGGCAAAGGCTGCCTCTGGCCACTGGCTGTGCCGTTCTGCATCAGCGGCTCTGGCTGAAGCTCCCCCAGGCTGGGCCATGCCCCTTGCCCACGGGGTGCCCTGTCCACAGGGGAGGCACGGAACCGGCTGCGGTGGGCAGACGGGAAGACCATCAAGAACGAGGTGGACCTGCAGGTGGGTGCAAGGGCAGCAGGGTGAGGGGGGTGGCAGCTGGACAGGACATCTCCAGACCTTGGAGCACAGGGAGCCTTTTTGACTCCTGATGGTGTCTCACTTCTCCAGGTGCTGCATTTGCTGGGACCAAAGACGGAAGCTGACCTGGAAAAGAAGCCAAAGGTGAGGAGAAGAGGAGGCTGGGGACTTGGATGTTATTTTCCTCCTAAATGTCCAGGCAGGATCCCGTGTAACTGCTTTGGACTCAGCTGCCACCATGGGCATGGGTCTGAGGGAGCACTGGGGACAGCAGACTGGGCCAGGAGGGGAAGGTGCATGCTAGGGCTGGGCACTCAGGATGCTGTGCTGGTCCCTGCAGGCTGCAAAGGCCCGGCTGGCCCCAGTGGAGAAGCAGAAGGTGGCCGTGGTGGAGAATGGTAAGAGACTGTCCTCCCATGGGCAGCTTCCTCATCTCTTTAGTTCTTGCTAGGGTCTGCTTCTGAGCTGGGCCCTGAGAGCTGCGGTCAGGCCCCTGCTCAGCCCCATCTCCCTGCAGGTGATGTGGGCACAGAGACAAAGTCACTTTTGGAGCAGCTGCGGGGAGAAGCCCTCAAGTTCCACAAGCCAGGTGCATGTGAGGAGCCACTGCCATATGTGGCAGCTCTGTGCTTGGTCCCAGCTCTCTGTGCTGTGGGGCACTGGCTTGGTCCTGTGTCCTTTTCCCCCGGCTGCTGGGCTGAGCTCAGTTTGGGCAGTGCTGCAGCCCTGAGCAATCTCTGCCCGCAGGAGAGAACTACAAGACTGAGGGCTATGTGGTGACACCCAACACCATGGCCCTGCTGCAGCAGCACCTGGCAATCACAGGCGGGCAGGTGAGGCCGCGTCCCTCAGCCCAGCGGTGGCTGGGGGACACACAGCTCACAGGGGACATGGCCAGGGACAGCGCCCATGTGGCATGGGGGGCTCCGTGGGATTGCCAGGGGCTCATGTCAGTACCACCACTGTCAGGGAGGGGAAGAGTCTCCTGCTGAAGGACAGAGGTGTCCCCTTTCCCTCTGCAGGTACGGACACGGTTCCCTCCTGAGCCCAACGGGATCCTGCACATTGGCCACGCCAAGGCCATCAATTTCAACTTTGGCTATGCCAAGGTAAAAAGCACCAAGCTCTCTTGGCCACTGCCTTCCCTCACTGTTTGGCTGCTGGCCTGGCCCTGTGATCCCTTGGGGAGCAGCTGCTCACCATCCCCTCATCCCCAGGCCAATGGTGGCGTGTGCTTCCTGCGCTACGATGACACCAACCCTGAGAAGGAGGAGGAGAAGTACTTCACGGCCATCCGGGATATGGTGGAGTGGCTGGGTACGGCTCGGGCTGGGGAGGGCAGGATCAAGCCAGGTGCCAGGGACATCTCTGCATGAAGGTCCTGCAGCTGGGCCTTTGGGGTGCTTCCAACCTGCTCCATTTCCCCCATCCCCACAGGCTACCAGCCCTATAAGGTGACCCACGCATCGGATTACTTTGACCAGCTCTACACGTGGGCCCTGGAGCTCATCCGCAGGTGAGCATGTGGGGCGGTAGGGCTGTGCCAGCGTGGTGTGGATGTCCTGTGCCACAGCTGGGGCTCCTCCTTGCCAAGGGGATGGGTTACTCGCGTCTGGTGACAGCGTTTCCCCTCCGTAGGGGTCAGGCTTACGTCTGCCATCAGAAGGTCGAGGAGATCAAGGGCCACAACCCTCCACCCTCACCATGGCGGGACCGGCCCGTGGAGGAGTCGCTCCTGCTTTTTGAGGTATTTCTGACTGGGGCAGGTGCCGCATGTCTGTGGGTCTGGATCTGTGGCTCAGTTGACAGCTTCCCCCTCTCCACAGGACATGCGAAAGGGCAAGTTTGGGGAGGGGGAGGCCACGCTGCGGATGAAGCTGGTGATGGAAGATGGGAAGATGGACCCTGTTGCCTACCGCGTCAAGTTCACTCCGCACCACCGCACCGGGGACAAGTGGTAGGGAGGGCCTGTGGTGGGTCTCGATCTCCTGAGAGTGGGGAGGTGTTGGGAGGGGAGGAGCACCGTGCTCTGCCCTGGGCTGACTGAGTCTGCCTTGCAGGTGCATCTACCCCACGTACGATTACACACACTGCCTCTGCGACTCCATCGAGCACATCACACACTCCCTCTGCACCAAAGAGTTCCAGGCTAGGTGAGCACTGTGCATGGCATGGCCCAGGGATGAGTCAGACCTGGGAGCAGCTGGCTGCATCCTGACAGTTGCCAGTATCCGTGGGGCTGAGCCGGGCTGTGCCTGCACCTCCCTTGCAGGCGCTCCTCTTACTTCTGGCTCTGCAACGCGCTGGATGTCTACTGTCCTGTGCAGTGGGAGTACGGGCGCCTGAACCTGCTCTACACCGTCGTCTCCAAGAGGAAGATCATCCGGCTGGTGGAGACGGGTGCTGTGAGGTAGAAGCAGGGTCAGCAGCCAGGATGGGACTCACCCAGGACATGCCTGGTTGTCACACCTGTGTTTTCCCAGGGACTGGGATGACCCGCGGCTCTTCACACTGACAGCCCTGCGCCGGCGAGGCTTTCCCCCCGAGGCCATCAACAACTTCTGTGCACGGGTAGATGCCTGGGATGGGGTGGGACAGGGCAGGTGGATGCGTTTCCTGGCCAGCATAGTGATGACAGGCTGTCCCCTCAGGTTGGTGTGACGGTGGCCCAGGCAACAATGGAGCCAC